AGTAATTTTAATTTGAATAAAAATGCCATATTTTATTTTATTTTTGGATGATATGACATGAACTTTATGTAATTATCTTTTTATGTGGCAAATACTTTCTCTACAATAATGTTGAAACATATAATAAGAGAGGGGATCACAAAAAAAATGACAAAAATAAAAATATAAAAATTAATTTCATTTTCTACATATTTATTACTCTATCTTTTTTAAATCAATTTCTTATTACATCATTTTATATAATATTTTTTTCAAATTATTATATTAATGATTCGAAAATAGAGTATCATTATTTTGTAAGCCGTTTCTGTTTAATTTATTTCCCGGCATACATGAAATCTTTTAAACCAAAATTGGGAAAAAAATTCCTATTGAAAATTTTATTGATGGAAAGAATCTGACAAATTTTTATGCATTAAAGGTGCTTGGTAATCTACAAAATTTGTATATACAAAATATTAATATTTTGATTTAAGTCCCTTTCATCAATAACATTTTTGAATTGGAGATTAATTTTTTTCCTCTTTTTGAAATGTTATATGGTATCTTTAATCTAAAGTAAAATATATCAATCTCTCCTCTCTTTAACCTAAATTACAAATACCTTCTTTTTATTTTGGAAACTTCTATGGACCTTTCTTAAAATCAAAATATATATTGTACAAACTCCTTTTCTAGTTTTAAGATTCAACTTTTATCCACCTATCCGTTAGTTGACCATTAAATCATAGGATTTACCCATTATTTTGACCAAATTATCCCTTCTTAATACAAATATTACTTAATAATTATCATTTAATGACACATCATACATCTTTATTTGAAATTAAAAATAACTTTAATATTTTTTGTTATACTATTGAATTGTTTACCATATTATAAATTTTATTAATTTTATAAATACAAATTTTTATTTTACAATAAATGTTGTTTATTTATTTAAACTTACATGTGATGTAATTTTTTAAATATATATTAGTAAAAAATGTTTTGTAATCGTATATATGTATTTTCAATAAAATTATAAAGTTATGTCTTAATTTATTAAATTTGGTAAAATATCAAATAGATTATTAATAAATATTAATGTTAAAAGATAAACTACATATTTAATATAATGAGAGGTAAAGTAAGAAACAAGGTTTATTCTAATATTTTTTAATTAAAAATATATGTAAAAAATCTTTTCAGAATATTCTTTAATGGTATTAATGGTTTGGACTAAAATATATGTTATTAATAAGATCTGTGTAATTAAGACAAAATAAAAGGGCCATCAGAGTATTTTACTTTTTAATCTATCATGGGCGTGGCATCACAGTGATGTAATCGTGAGCACAAAAATGGTCCTAATTTTTTTCCCCCCAAAAAGCGTCACATTGGATTAAAGGAATCTGCATTATATTTTATGTCCTATCTTCAAACTAATGTGTCCCCTTCTTTGGTGCCCCTTTCTTTACGCAGACAGAGACTAATTTATAAAAATTATTATTAAAACTCATACTAATATTATCACAAATTTTTATTTATAATTTTTTTATGGGGAAATCACAAATAAAGACCCTCGAATTAGCAAAATCACTCTATGGTCACCTGAATATGCTAAATTACTATGAGGGACCCGATCTCAAATTGTAATTATGAAATCATGGCCAAATTACCAAAATACCCCTCTTTAATTTTTTTTTTTTAAAAAAGAAAGCCACTGCCTCACCGGAATCCGGCCACCGGCGCCGCAGCTCCGGCAGCCGCTTCCGGCCACTGTCGGCGGCCGGACGCCGGGGTCCGGCTGCCGGAGCTCCAGCACCGGCGGCCGCTTCCGGCGGTCTTCCTTTGTTTTTTATTTTTAAACTGTTTTTTTTTTTAAATTGGGGGGAAGTGAAGTTGGGGGGATTTGATCCCCCAACCTAATGCTTCCCAAAATAAGGAATGACCATTGAGCCAACAAATTTTTGTTAACATTATGATGCAAAAAAAAATATAAGTTAACTCATTTACTCTTGTTCCAGGTGATAACAACAATACATTTGGAAATAACAAGTTCTGATTGTAAAATAACACGTCTGGAATAAAAATTTAACAATATGTTTTTTTTATAACAATAAATTTTGTTGCAGGCAATAACAACAATACATTTAAAAATAACAAGTTCTGATTATAAAATAACAAGTTTGGGATTAAAATTTAACAACACGTTTTTTTTTTATAACAACACACTTTATTTCAAGTGATAACAACAATACATTTAAAAATAACAAGTTCTAATTATAAGATAATAAGTCTGGGATTAAAATTTAACAACATGTTTTTTTATAACAACACACTTTGTTTCAAGTGATAACAACAATACATTTAGAAATAACAAGTTCTGATTATAAAATAACAAGTCTGGAATTAAAATTCAACAGCACCTTTTTTTTATAACAATTAATTATTTTATACTTTTGGAAAATAAATTATTTATAACTTATAAAAAGTACTTGTAATCTATTTAATTTGCTAAAAAATAATTTTTATCTCCAATTTATAATCAGAACTTGAAGTATAATTTTTTATAGATTAAAAATACTTTTTATTGTTCAAATTTATAAATAAAATTTAGGGAAAATGGCAACACACTTTTTTAATTTTTTTTAAAATTTTTTTAATCTATATATCTATACAACTTATTATAAATCAAACTACTTCTTATAAATTATAAATAGTACAATTTATTGTGGATTAAAAATACTTTTTGACTGCTTAAATTTATAAATGAAATTTATCTCTAATTTATAATTAAAAATACTATTTTATTCTTTAAATATAAAAACTATTTTTAATATTTAAAGAATGAAATAATATAAAATTTATACTATGATTAATAAATCAAAAATGCCTTATTATAAATACTTTATAATTTATAAGAAGTAGTTTGATTTATAATGAGTTGTATAGATATACAGATTAAAAAGTATTTTTTTAGAGAAATAAATATATTAAAATTTTTTTTATAAGTTATAAATAATTTATTTTTTAAAAGTATAAAATAATTAATTGTTATAAAAAAACGTGTTGTCAAATTTTAATCCTAGACTTATTATCTTATAATCAGAACTTGTTATTTTTAAATGTATTGTTGTTATCACTTGAAACAAAGTGTATTGTTATAAAAAAAACGTGTTATTAAATTTTAATCCCAAACTTGTTATTTTATAATCAGAACTTGTTATTTTTAAATGTATTGTTGTTATTACCTGCAACAAAATTTATTGTTATAAAAAAATCATATTGTTAAATTTTTATTCCAGACGTGTTATTTTACAATCAGAACTTGTTATTTCCAAATGTATTGTTGTTATCACCTGGAACAAGAGTAAATGAGTTAACTTATATATTTTTTTGCATCATAATGTTAACAAAAATTTGTTGGCTCAATGGTCATTCCTTATTTTGGGAAGCATTAGGTTGGGGGATCAAATCCCCCCAACCTCACTTCCCCCCAATTTTAAAAAAAAAACAGTTTAAAAAAAAACAAAGGAAGACCGCCGGAAGCGGCCGCCGATGGCCGGATTCCGGTGAGGCAGTGGCTTTCTTTTAAAAAAAAAAAAAAAATTAAAGAGGGGTATTTTGGTAATTTGGCCATGATTTCATAATTACAATTTGAGACCGGGTCCCTCATAGTAATTTAGCATATTCAGGTGACCATAGAGTGATTTTGCTAATTCGAGGGTCTTTATTTGTGATTTCCCCTTTTTTTATTTTGAAGGTTTTTTTTTTACTATTTTTTCTTAAACTAATATGTCCTTTTTTTTTCCCTTTCCCGTGTATCCCCCCAAAAAAAAAGTGTCCCTCTCTTTCTGTTTCGGGGAAACCTCCAAAGGATTTATGAAATGATGTGGCCCTTGCAAATTGGACCGCACCCCCCAAAGTAATACTGCTTTATTTACACACGTTGACACGTTTTACGCTTTTTCTCCTCTTTTAAAAGAACCATGCCATACATGTATAAAACAAAATACTATTTCTATTTGGTAATATAAAACCTACTTAACTAATTTAAAATTTTTAAAAATTATTAAATCAGTTAATTATAACATGTATTATATGACTTTAAAAATACTTATATATTATTAGATTATATATTAATTTATAAGTGAGACAAATTAACCAATTGAGTTAAACAGAAGAGGCAGAACTATTTATTTGATTTTTTAAAATGATTTTATTGTTAGATTAAGAAAGTTCCTTTAAAGACTTTAAAGTTCAATCTGATCAAATCGTCCTTGCTAAACACAGCCAACAGAATAAAAGAGAAAATCAAAAACGTGTGAGCTGTCAGACTGGGGGATAAAGTGAGGAAACATATGCTACTGAAAGAATTTCAAATGCGTAACGTTTTAATAATGACAGAAGAAATGGAAAGAACTGAAATGCATATGTGATGTCAAAAGCGAGCGACACAATATAACAGTCATTTGAAAATTTCCCGACGATTTAGCCCAAAATTTTTTGTAAATAAGCCATGATTATTTCACCAAAACCAGAATCAAAGATCTTTTATGCGCCGAGGCCGACCTGCAATTGACAAAAGGTGGGCTTTCATGGGCATTCATTACGAATTCCAAAAACAGAAATGTAATTATTAATAAAATCTCAATAAAAACTGGATAGCATAAATACCGTGCACTTTCTCTATGCTTAGCTCCATCTCTGTCATTCACATCTCACCCTCTCTCTTACAAAGCAAGACGACGTTGGTTTCTCTGAACCTTACCACATGGGCCACCACAGGGGAGAAATTATTGGAAAGTTTCCGCGAAACTTTTTTAAAGTTGATGGATGCTACGCGTATAGGCAATTTCCAGGAAACTTTAATTCCTCTTCCTTAGTGGGAGACAATGAATCAGTGCACTGGGGACCACCAGAGCAATTGCCATGGTCATTTCTCTGTCAATAAAGTTAAATATCATATGGTAGACTTAGTTGAGCGCTTTTAAGTCTTCTCTTCTCCTGCACTTTCTCCTCAACTTGTTTCTAATCATCGAACACCAGAGAGAGAGTCTCCCTTCGATTTGTGTATTGGAGGAAGGATGGCGGAACAAGTACCATATGGAGTGGCTACAAGTCTCATCAACACGTTGGCTTCATTAGCCTTCAAAGAGATTGCTTCCATTTATGGGGTCGAGACTGAGATTGATTGGCTGGAGGAAACTGTTGGAGACATCAAAGCTGTGCTTGCTGATGCTGACCACAAGCACACTGAGCAAAGCATCCAGCGCTGGATAACCAAACTCAAACAAGTGCTTTACGAAGCAGATGACGTGCTTGATGAGATCCACACTAAACATTTGCTGCGCCAGAGGGATGGAAAGGGAAAGGTACGTGACTTCTTCTCATCCTCCAATCCAATCGCTTTTCGCTGCAAAATTGCTTGCGAGATTAGAAGGATTAAAGAGCAATTTAATGCTGTTACTAAAAGAATGTCGGAGTTGAATTTAGTTGGAAGAGTTGTTGAAATGAAGCATGAAAAGAGGAACCGGAGGGAAACTAGTTCTTTTGTGCTCCAAGAGCGTATGGTTGGCAGGGAGGGAAACAAGAAGCACATAATTGATTTGTTGTTGAATGATGATAATAGCCATCAAAATGTTTCCTTGGTTGCTATTGTCGGTATTGGGGGTTTGGGTAAAACTGCTCTTGCCCAGTTGGTGTACAACGATGCTGACGTGGACCGTTTCTTCCAAAAGCGAATGTGGGTGTGTGTTTCCGAAGACTCTGATGCAACGGCCCTTGTGAAACAGACACTCAAATCACTACCTGGCCAAAAACATGACGAGCAATCATTAGAACTACTTCAAAATGAGCTTCAAAAAAATTTAGCTGGCCAAAAATTTTTGCTAGTTTTAGATGATATTTGGGATGATTTTCCCAGAAAGTGGGAAGACTTAGAGAATATTTTGATGCGTGGTGCTAAGGGTAGTAAGATTTTGTTGACTACACGAGATCAAGCGGTAGTCAATAGAATGGGTGTAAAAACGCCATATCTTTTGGAAGGATTGAATAATGACCAATCTTGGACTCTGTTGAAAAGGTTGGCATTTGACGATGAGAAAATAATGACCCAAAATTTGGAGTCTATTGGCCAAAAAATTGCAGCAAAATGTAAGGGCGTTCCACTGGCAATAAGAGTGATGGGAAGTTTGTTGCGCTCAAAATTGCGGGAAAGTGACTGGGAAGATCTCTTGAAAGATGACTTTTGGAAGCTACGTGATGATAATGTTTCAATTATACCAATTTTAAAGTTGAGTTATGACAGTCTGGCAATTGAATTAAAACAGTGTTTTGCTTATTGTTCTATATATCCAAAAGATTGGAGATATAATAAGGATGAATTGATTGATATGTGGATGGCACAAGGCTTCCTTGAAAACAAAGACGAGGAACAATGTCTAGAAGACGTGGGTGAAGAGTACGTTCATGTTTTATTGATGAAGTCATTCTTGCAAGATGTTGAGAGGGATGAATCAGGAGAAATAGAATCTTTTAAAATGCATGATTTGATGCATGACTTGTCCCAATCAGTTGCTAGCTCTGACCTATACGTTGAGGGAGGAAAAAATGGTGCAATGTGTCCTATACATGCTTCTTTTGAAAAATATAACACCAATCGTTCACTAAATATGCCGGATCTAGGTAGATTGAGAACGTTTCATGAAATGAAGAAAGAAGATGGAAGGGATCTACCCGATTTATTTGTGTTCAAACGCTTACGAAGTCTAGATTTGTCAAACTCTATGATGAGATATTTGCCTAAATCGATAGGTAAAATGATCCATTTGAGGCATCTTAATCTCTCTTCTTGTAGCCAATTGACTTGTTTGCCGAAGAGTATAAGTAACTTAGTCAATTTGCAAACATTGATATTGAGCGACTGTTATAATTTGAAATTTCCTGGAGATATTATCACAAAGTTGGTAAAGTTGCGCCGGCTTGACATAGAAGATTGCAAGGCCTTTGATGATGGAATGCCTATGGGGTTGGGCAAAATGACTTGTATGCAGAGGTTGTCACATTTCATAGTGGGTAATGATGATAAGGAGATAAAGAAAGCCAAATTGAACGAATTGAAAGATCTTAACCTCAGAGGTAGATTAGCCATTAAGAAACTTGATTCAGTAAGGGATATAGAGGAGGAGTCCAAGAATGTTAATTTGAGAACAAAGAAAAACCTCATTTCCTTGTCCATGGATTGGGGAAACGACCCAAAGATGGAAAAAAGTGATGCCATGCAGTTACTGGAAAATCTTCGCCCTCATCAAAATTTGAGGATGCTAGAAATATATGGGTACCCGGGGGGACACCTGCCCGATTATTGGCTTTTGTCATGTACAAATCTTGTTCAACTACAGTTTTCTGGATTCAAAGATTGTCAATACTTGCCAGCATTAGAAGGCTTGGTTTCTCTCAAGACTCTTGACATATCGAGGATGGATAAATTGGAGTGCATATACTATAAAGGATGTTCCTCATCAGCCAACTTCTTCCCATCTTTGGAGGAATTAACAATTAGCCGGTGTGGAAGTTTAAGGGGATGGCAAAGGGAGGCAAATGGCCAAAATACAAGAGATAATGAGTGGCATGATTCACTGCCTCCATTTTTACGTCTTTTAGCATTGAGTATTTGGGGTTGCCCACACTTAAGATGCATGCCTGCTTTTCCAAATCTCGTGAGGGATTTGGATTTATTCAACTCTAGCATGAAGCCATTGGTAGACACATTAAGTGTGGGCACAATTGGGCCGTCAACATCACATGATATGACTCCATCTCTTTCCATGCTCAAGTCTCTTCACATTAGAGGGATAGAAATGGAAGCATTACCAGAGGAATGGATGCAAAATCTCTCCTCTCTTAAACATCTCTCCATTCGAGGATTTTCAAGTCTGGAGAAGCCATTTCTTCATATGCGGAATCTATCTGCTACACTCGAGGAATTGACTATTCAAGAACTTGGTGATGAGGATTATAGCATACAGTGCCAAGACCTTTGTTGCCTATGTTCTCTCCAAGCAATCACTTTTTCTTTTTGTGATCACCTCACAGCTTTACCCGAGTGGATTTGTGATCTCCAGTCACTGCGTAGTATGTGCATTTTCTATTGTAAAAACTTGGAGTTATTTCCAGCAGAAATGTCTCGCCTCACTACTTTACAAACACTAAGTGTCTACAGAGCTCCACTTCTAGAGGCCAAATGCAAGAGAGAAACAGGAGCAGAGTGGCTAAAAATTGCTCACATCCCAAATATATGGATCTAAAGGTATGCTCGTGATGTCTATAACTACTTTATTAAAACAAAAAATACAGCCCCATTTGTTTTCACCTTCATAAAAGAATTCATTACTAGAATACATCCAATTTGATAAACTCCACTCCCCTTACTAATTAATTAACCTTTCCTTGCAGTTAACCTATTTTTCCAAGAGAAGAAGGCCTCGCAGAGCATGCTCTGCTCACTGAAGCTTTAAGACGAGGTACTCTACTGCTACTTAAATTGATTATTACTATAGTATTCGCCAACTAAATAACTTGTGCGCCCTTTAAATTTCAAACTAGTTTTGTCCAGCTACATGGATTATAAAACTTTGAAAACATTCAAAGATGATTGGTTTTATTTGCTCTGTTTTTACGAAAATTAGATAACAATTAAAGGGTGCTCCAGCCTACTCCAAATTTGACACTTCCTCTGCTACTTTAGTTAGTTTCAATCCTTTTCTTACTCAGTGATCATGATTTCATGGTTTTAATTTCAATTCAAAAGTTTTAGGAATAGTACAATTGAAGGAATTATGAAGGCAAGGCTTCTTCAAATCTGTTTAATGTTGTTGGAGAGAATTAAAAACTCAAAACAAGTAAGAAAGGATTCTAGTTTTACAACAAATGTGTTAAGCTTGTGCCGCAATAAAATTCTGTAGTGTCTGTTATTATTATCAATTTGACAATAATTGATTACCGTCTCATACCATCGAAAATTCCAGGTCAAAATGGTTATGTTCAGGGTGATCCTGTGAGTTATGTTTACTCCATTTTAAGTAAGCTGCTTTCGTACTGAGTTGAAATATGAAAAAGATAATATGCATATACTTACGATGAAATCCTATTTTGAAGAATAGTATCCAGCAAAACAAAATCGGGTTACAAATTATATCACCATGTCTTCATATTCTTAATTGATTTTCGGTAATTACTCAATTTCAGAATTGGATGGATGTGACAAGGAAACTCCATTCCTGTTCTGAATTTGAATTCAACTGCAATGAATTATATCGCTGGCCGTTCAAGCTTCAATACTTGGATATTTTAGTTTGTCTGTTCAATGCTTATTTTAGTCACTGGCCTCAGATGCAAGAAAGCTTCACTGGGCTCAACAAATTATGCAGCGGACTTCAAATCTAATAGATCTTTTTCTCAATATATATTCATAGCAGAGAACCAGCAATCTGCTTTCAGGAGATTGAAGCCAAACGATGAGAATAAGGTCCAGGTCTCACGCTCCTGATCTTTTTTGTAGTGAATATTTATATGGTGCATGAAGATGCTTCCTTAGTTACTGAACTATAACATACACGCTTGGCATGAAAAGCCTATTATATGCATGAGGTTAATTGTTTAGAGCTATGAATTAGTTAAATAGAATCAATAGATGCTTAAGTTCCTAATTGCCTATAATTAGTGGGGAATATTTAGATAAAATGCCAAATTCATAACTAACAATTTTGAACTTTTTGATGTTTGTGATTTGTTTTGCAGGAAGAACAGCTGGTTTTTTTTCCTCCCCAAATCTCAAGTTTCATATATTTGGTAAAGGAGAATTGAGAAGATTAGTATCACTCAAGTTGTGGAGTCCCCATAATAAATAAAATTGAGTTTGTAATTCATCTCGAATTAAGAAAAACAGCCACATTTAATTGTAATTTATGGAGTGTTGACAGGCTATATTTGATCCTTTTTTCTTTTAATGTGTACTATTTCTAAGAACATTTAATGATTTTTGATACAGTGGAATTTTTCGGAATTGATCCCATGGTTTTTTCCCTGGTATTAGAGGGTTTTTCATGTTAAATTTGTTGTCATTTTTGTTCGGATTGCGTTTCTCGAGATGTGGATGGAAATGGGCTGAGGGTAATTGGCGAATTTGCTGCCCTTTTGGGATGCGACCGTTGGCATGCGATCCATGTGTTTGAGATTCATGATTTTTAGCGGTGCATTTTTTTTCCAGAAATAAAAAAATAATAATATTATCTGCATGAAATAAATATGAAATTGTCATGTGACTTAAAAATAAGAGTTAATACATTTTTTATTCTGATTTATCTTCATTTTAGTTCTGGTTTTTAAAATTTTTTCATTTAAAATATTACTTCCAATAATTCAATAAAAACTTGGATTATTTTGCTTTTTGATGGATCAAAATTTATTTAAAATTTAGAGGACCAAACACAAAATGAGGAACCAAAAATTATATTAACTCTAAAAAATAATCATAAATATTTCATTTTGATTAGTTAAAATGGAACAATTTTTTTTGGGTTTGATGTCAGGCTAGACTTTCAAAACATTACTTTATAAGAAAAGATAAAAGGAAGCATCATGATCGTCTTCTAACTTTAGGAAAAACAAATGCCATCTTATAAAAGAGAATAAGAAATTCGTTCTTCGGGCGGCTTATAGAAAGCAATGATTACTTCTTTCCTTTTTAATGGGTTAAATTTTGCTATTGCATGTACTCTGGGCCATTCACTATATTAATGATTCTCTGCAAATAAAATTTATGTCGCGATGAACTTAATATTCTTAAATCTGATTTTGAATCTTTGGGATGCATGTGATCCCACTTTTCCAAACAATATTCTTAAAATTTCTTCTGCTCCTTTTTCTTCCACACCAGATTCACCTCCAGTCCTCCTCTCTGGCTGTTTCCTCCTTCTTTCAAAACTTCTTCCATTGTAAATCCTCGCCTCTCTGAGTTACTGCGGTGTACAGAAACCCAAAGCACTCTTTCTTCCTCCGTCGCAGTGGGCGGTGGAGCTCACTAGTCACAATCGGCAAGATAACTGCCGTAACAAACTCTCATTGGGAGAGAGAAAAGCTCGTGCGAGGAGAGAGACTTAAACACAACACCTTTGAAATCGATTTTTTATATTAATGATTCTTTGCAAATAAAATTTATGTCGCAATGAATTTAATAGTCTTAAATCTGATTTTGAATCTTTTTGTTCCCCATGCATGTGATCCTGCTTTTCCAAAAGGGAAGCCTTTAAATACAATAAAATACGTAAGATCAATTGTCTTATATTTTCCTCTCCAGTGAGAAGCAGCAATATATCCCTTTAAATAAAAAGGTATTTTTTAGTGCTTTTGATATTCATTATTAAATTAGGAAAACATTATGAAAATACCCAAAAAAAAAATTATCGGCACGTTTCTGTGAAATTACACATAATTTTTAGAAGAGGTTTGCGCATATTTTTAAAATTGAGAAAATATATGTAATTTTCTTAAAAAATATAATTTTGACAAGATTCCAGAAAGATTTAGCGAAAAAATTATGTGATTTATAAAATCAGATGTACAATGTTTGGCATCTTATCTTTAATATGATAATATCATTAAAATGCAATAACTTTGATAAGGGTTGAATATAAGAGTTGAACACTAACTTAAAAATATTAAATGTCTGTTGATTTTTCTAAATTATCATATTTAATCATATGTATTAGAATTTAGAATTATTTTTTGATAGGAAGCTTTCATAATCAATAATCAATAAGAATATTTTGAAAAAAATTACAAATTTAAAAAACAGAATGAATTAAAATATTATATTTATAACTAAATAACGGAATTTAATCTCCCAACCAACTCTTAATACCCAATCGGTAGTAGTTAGCAAATATTTTTATGAACACTTTTTTCAAACCAGAAAGCAAGAACAAGAAGGCGACCCTATTGTCAAAACCCAAAACAGGGGATGAGGACACTCCAGAATTCTTATTATGCCCCTTAACAGTGAGATCTTATCGGAATTGTCCTTTGGCTGCCCTGTTTTATGGCAAATTAAATGGATGACTTCAAAAGAATGTTTTATTAGGTGGTAATGAAAATTTTCATCTACTACCTCTGGTCCTAATTATAAGAGCTAGTTTACTAATTTGAAGAGATTAAAGAAATAAGTTAAGTTAATTATTTGTAATAAATATGTGTTGTCTTTCTTAAAATATTCTTACTAATCAACTGTATTAGCTAGAACTATTATTATTAGAAAGACTACCTTGGAAAAAAATATATAAATATGAGAGACAAAATGGATTGAGATCTTATATTTAGGGTCAAAATAAAAGTCAAATAAGGTCTTATATTAAGGACCGGAGGTAGTATTAGATTTGCTTCAATTATCAATTTAATCCTAACATCTAATATTTATCAATTTGATTCATGAAACTGCATAATTATATACAATTAATTCTTACGGTTTGAAGGGAAAATAACCCTATTAATTAGGAGTAACATGATACCTAATAAAATTTAAGAAACTTGATTAATAAATATTAAAATTCGAAGATTATATTGATAATCAAAGCAAACTTTGAAGGATTAAAAGTTTTATTCTTGTTTTTATTAACTCATTTTTAATTCGCGTTGGGTGGTACCAGTTGCCTTTTTCAATAATGACTTTAATTAAAGTGAACTTCTAACAAGTGCTAACTACGAACTAAAGGGTTCATATTAGACGTACTCTTGAACAATGCAGAAGCACTAAAAAGAATAATGGGTAAGAGCTACCTCATCCTTAAGTCATTTAAATTTCAGTCCTAAAAAAATTGGGTTATTTAAATGTACAATTTTCAATAATTTATTTTACTTCGAATACTTTTATTTCTGAAAATAAAAAATATAGAATAAAATAATTTTTATCTTGAAACATAAAAATTATAATCGTGTCAAATAAAAAAAGATTAAAAGTCAAACTTAAATAAAATTTACTTTGAAGTTTTAACATTTTAATTTTTATTATATTAATATTGATGCTAGCATCAAAGAATATGCTAATTTGAGAACTCAGCTTTTCCGGAACCGAAAAGATATCCCACTATTTACCCTTGTTCTCAGCCAAAAGGCTGAAATTAAAAGATAGTGAAGTGTTAAATTTTGTCCAGAGGACCAGAGGAGTATTATGCTCCATTATCTAATCTATATATAAAATAAAAAATTTTAAGCAAAATGAGCTATTTTTAATTTATAAAAAAAATGTAATTCATTCCTTAAATTGAGACCTAACCTGAGTCTACAATATATATTTATTGTAGAATCATCGAAAAACATTAGAATCATCATTACATTTTAATTAAAAATTTCATTTGCAAAGATATACAAAACTATATATAAATTTAATCCTTTTAGGAAATCAGCTACAAGAATCCAAAATAATTTCCCCTATACTCGTCAGTGATATTGAGACGAAAATTTTCATTTTTTTGTTGAGACAAAAATAATCTAACAAGTCTCTCAATTACCCTCAATTTAATCTGATAATATACTAGAAGGTCGAAGCTTATAATACCGCATACCGAAAAATTATATTTTAAAAATATTAAACAGGCAGGGTTCTTCTAATTTTTATTGAATTAAAAATAATAAAAATTTGATTCTAAAATTTATATTTTTAATAAAAAAATTCCAGCAACACTGTTATAGGTAAAGATATCATACCTAAGTTTTTCTTCTTTTAGAAACAATCAAATCACATATGGAACTATGGAGTGCATTGTAATTAACTATTAAAAGTAAAACCAAAAAACAGACAAAATTAAACGACACTTTACCAGCAATAGAAAAGTAAACCGAAAATTGCCTAAATCTGGAGAAAAGTTCTGTTCGATTTCCTTTCCAAGCAGAAAAGTTTTACGTTCTTCCAACACATTTGTTGCTCTCTAACAGCACTTACTAATTTGCCCAGATTTATTGGCGTGCCTTTTGCTTTTTGTTTAATCTCGGCCTTAAATAAATATATCAAAGAAAAAAAAAAACACACATGAACACGGACGCACCCGCATTGTCTTGTCTCTAACCTCTCTCTGGACGACGACGACGGTTATGTCTCTGCTGCCACGTTCAATTATTCCTCTCTTTTTGGGTCTTTCACTTTTGGTGTCGCTGCCTTCTCCGGCGACTTCACTCACATGCACTTCCCAGAAGTTCATCGATAAAAAAGTTTATTCCAATTGCGCTGACCTTCCTGTGTTAAACTCCTATCTCCATTGGACCCATGATTCCTCCAACTCTTCTCTCTCCGTCGCCTTTGTCGCCGCTCCGGCGAAACCCGGTGGGTCGGTGTCGTAGGCGATAAACCCAACGGGGACTGGCATGGCCGGAGCACAAGCTCTGGTAGCGTTTAAAGACAAGGAGGGCGTAGTGACGGTGAAGACGTATAACATTAGCTCTTACAATTCAGTGGTTCCCGAGAAGCTTTCATTCGACGTGTGGGACTTGAAGGCGGAGGAGTCATCCGGCGGCGCGATGAGCATTTTTGCCACAGTGAAGCTGCCGGAAAGTGCAGAAAAAGTGAACCAGGTGTGGCAGGTGGGGCCTTCAGTCACCGACGGAGAACCAGACGCTCATGACTTTGCTCCGACGAATCTGGAATCCAGGGGCGTATTGAACTTGAAGTCTGGGCAGGGTTTTAGTAGTGGTGGGGATGATTCAAGAACAAAGCAAAAGGATGTAAATTATCAAGCTTCACTGTTTTACATTAATTACGGAATATATTAATATAATTTGATTGTGATTAATTAATTATTAATATATGGCAGATTCATGGAGTGCTAAATGCAGTGAGCCGGGGGATTATGTTCCCAGTGGGGGTGATAATAGCGAGATACATGAGGACATTTCCGTCATTAGACCCAGCATGGTTCTACCTTCATGTGTTTTGTCAATTTTCAGGATACGCCATTGGAGTTTCAGGATGGGCCATTAGTCTTAAGCTTGGAAGTGAATATGAGGGCATTCAGTATTCTGGCCATCGCAACA